TGTTGCCCGTTTAAATAGTGTTCGCACACAGCTACGTTTGTGTGTGCTGGAATGGTTACTGTTGAAGTTCAGTGCCTGGTCTGTGTGTGTGGCTTTTTGGTGTATTTTCATTTGGAGTTCCCCATTTGTCTTGCTCTCCACCATGACGTCCAGGAATGGGAGCTGTTTGTTCTTCTCCTCTACTCTGGTGAATTTTATTCTGGTGAGGGTGTTGTTTATTAGTTTGTGTGTCTTCTCTAGTTTGGTCCATCTCACGATGACAAAGGTGTCGTCCATGTAGCGTATCCATAGTTTTGGTTGGATTAGCGGAAGGGCCGTCCTTTCTAGTCTTTGCATCACTGCCTCTGCTATGAGTCCGGAGATAGGTGATCCCATGGGTGTCGCATTGATTTGTTGTATGTTTGGCCGTTGAAAGTGAAGTGGGTGGTGAGGCATAAGTACAGTAGTTTGAGCATATTATCTGTGGGGATGGTTTTACTGGGGTCTTGCTCTTGTTCCAGTAGTGTTGTTCATTGTTTCCCTTGCAAGTGGTATGTCTATTGATGAAAATAGGGCAGTGACATCAAACGATATCATGGTCTCTTCGTCATCTATCATCAGCTTTGAACCAGCTCGGAGAGCCAACCAACCTCAACACCCACAACCCGAGCTACAAATCTACTCCATCACTTAAAGGTTTAAGATGATAGAGTTAGATGAAGGACCATTGGAGTTGACCTCGGTGGAGTGTAAATGTTGGCAGACTCGTTCGGTTTTCTTCTGTAATGTATATGTCATCTAACATGCGTAACTTTAAAGATAACTGGTCTGGCAGATGGGGCTACATCAGAGGGCTGCATAAGAATATGAAATAATGATAAAGTAGTAGGTCAGTGGTCTGGAAATGCCAGCATTAAGTGGCCTCCTAAGCTTTCAAATTAGAGAACAAGCGATATATTTGAATGGCTCATTATGTTAAAGGTGCTATATGAATATCATTTGTTTTATTTTCAATATGTGAGTTCTCCAGAACTTCACTTGCCACATACCGGACCCACATGGTACAAAGAGGTCCAGCTGACAGAACTGTGGATTGTTGTTCTCCTGATTTGTCGCTGATTCATGTTTGCCTAAGGCCCATACATTCCCATTCACATCCAGCTGTTCTTCACTTCAGTCACTCACCAAAGTGCACAACGGTAGCTTGATCTGTAACGCCAGTTGACCAGGTCAATGATCTCCTACCTTTTAAGGTTCACCCACTTAATACAAGTGTGGCCTGAGGCTAAATATTGAGAGATTTTCAGGCTTCACCAAATAACCTCTCCAGCATACTGCATTCAGGAATCAGCATTGCCAGATTTTGTTGCCAAAGGTATTTACGAAGTATCTACACTCACAAAAGGTAAGGTATGTTCAAGGCCTAAGCGTAGGATCAGTTAGCCTGACAAGTTAGTCTTTGTTTGTTTTTTGCACCGTGCTTGTGGTGTGATCAAGCATTGAGTTCAGCATTACTAGAATTGCTGAGTCCCAATCATGGGTGCAAGCAAACTTTGGCCGAGCTCCAGGTGTTTAGTCAGCTTGGGCCTCAACCTGCCAGTAATAAAATTTAAACTGTGGTCTCAGCCCAGTAGAGCCAGCCCAATTTGGAAATGTGCTGATCTCTGGTAAATCAAGAGGCAGGCTTGGATAGGTGCTTGTGTTCTGCTGGAATCTGGCACCTATGAGGAAGGACCTCACTCAGTTCTGTATCCCATAGTTGGAGGCCTGAAATTCCCCATTAATGTTTAATGGGTTGACTGTTGCCCGTGGTAAAGTGGCTGTGAGCAGGTTCAAATCAGGTCTGACAAGCTTCATCAGTCACTGCTGGCAATATGTCAACCTCTTAAATAATGTAATGAGTCAAATTAGCCAGTTGGAGATGCTTCCTCTCTGATACCACTTTACGATATAATACTAGTGTATCCATTACAGTCATAGAGTTGTATGGCATAGAAACAGCCCCTTTGGTCCAAATTGACAATGCTGACCAAGTTTCCCAAACTAAACTAGTCTCACTTGTCTGCATTTGGCCCATATCCCTCTAAATCTTTCCTACTCATGTGCTTTTTCAAATGTCTTTTAAACATTGTAACTGTACCTGCATCCATCACTTTCTCTGGCAGTTCATTTCACATACAAACTACCCTCTGTGCAAAAACATTGCCCTCAGGTCTCTTTTAAAACTTTCTCCACTCATTTTAAAAATATGCCCTCTAGTTTTGAACTTCCCTATCCTAAGGAAAAGACCTTTGCTATTCACCTTCCTTTGCCCTTTATGATGTTATAAACCTCTATAAGGTCACCCGTCAACCTCCTATGCTCCAGTGAAAAAAGGTTCTAGCCTCTCCTTATAATTCAAACCCTCCAGATTCGGTAACATCATTGTAAATCCCATTCTTTGGGTTCACATCATTGATGATGAAGATATAGTTAAGCATTTTCTTTTCCATCTCAAATCCTCCAGATAAAACTATGGGACACAGCAGGATGATATTCCCATCTTTCACTTCCTAGGCTCTGCTAAATGTGGAGTTGAGACATAAGGGAGATAGGAATGGAATGAACAGAAATGATGCTTGAGTGAGGTAGGAGGACGCACGTACCAATTAGGCCACATGGCCTCTTTCTGTGCTGTAATATTCAATTTGATTCTTGCAATGTGGTCTGCTGACACTGGGTCCAAGACCAAATGCAGTCCATTCACCAATACTGAATTAACCCACCTTGCTGAGCATGAAAAGCCAGAGCTGATGAATATATTTCTTTTTCCCATGACTGCAGAATGATCTACTTTGAATGATGGGTACATGACCATCAGAATGAAAATTACTCATTAACCTGCTTCATTGAGTTGCGTCCAAAACATTCACAACCCCAGGGCATTGCAATTGTCTATATGTCCGGGATGCATCAAATTTGCAAATTTAATGTTAGTTGCTCCCTGGATCATAACAGGGAAAACCAATTGGCCTACTGAACACCTCCACAACACAATGTTTATTTGCATGTATTAGGAGCTAAAATAGGCCACGCACTCCCTTGAGTCTGCTCTGTCATTCAATAAGATACCAGAACTCAATTTTCCCATCCTATCCCATAATCATAGAATCTCTGCAGAGTGAAATCAGACCCACACTGACCCTCCGAAGACTTTCCTCTCCAGACCCACGCTGCTTCCCTACTCCTGTATTTCCCATGGTGAATCCACCTAACCTGTACATCTTTGGACTGGGGGAGGAAACTAACATAGACACAGGGAGAATGTGCAAAGTCCACACAGACACTTGCCCAAGAGTGGAATCAAACCCAGGTCCCTGGTGCTGTGAGGCAACAGTGCTAACCACTGAACCACTGTGCCACCCCTGATACCTTCAAAGTACAAAAATCTATCAACTTCAGTCATAATTTTGTTCGATTACTGAACATTCATAATCTTCTAGGTACTGAATTCCAAAGACTTTACAAACTCACAATAAAGAACTGTTTCATCAACTTAGTTCTAATCAGATATCCTCTTAATTTGAGACACTGGCCCAAAGTTTCAGATTTCCCAGACAGGGTAAACAGGCTCTTAGTTTCAATCCTGTCAAGACCACTAAATGTTTCATACATTTCAATGAGATCACCTATCATTCTTCTAATCACCAGACAGTACACGCACATTCCACTCAAACTTTACAAGGCATCCATCTCATCTCAGGAGTCAATCTAGTGAATTTTTGTCACATTCTGTCTGGGGCAAATGCTCCAGGTGTTGTCTCAGCAAATCCCAACAGATATTTTTCTGTTCAGAGACCCTTGTGGAGCAGACAGACTTGAACCCAGGTCTTCTAGCCCAGAGGGAGGGACACTAGCACTCCACCAAAACAGTTCTTATCAAATCTCCACTTCATTGTAGCAACAGCTCCTCTTTCATGCTGAAAGTCCTTCCAGGAAAGTTTAAGCACTGATGAAATGTTATTGATCTGATTTGTTTCTCTCCAGGCCTGCAAAATTTCAGACACTCTTTTTTTCGTTTACAGATTCCCAGCTGTCGTAATATTTTGCTGTTGGCTTAAAAAGCCTGGTTGACTATCTGCCTGATTGTACTGAGAGGCCTCACTCAGGCCCTGATCCCCCTGAGTGAAAAATTAACAGAGGACAGGAACAGAATCAGAACGTGAATATTCTGGTCACCCTTGTAATTCCTGGACCCATCCTACCCCTAACCTTTGCCCTAACTACAGTCTTTACCCCAGCCCTAGCCCTAACCCTAGCCTTAACTCTAACCCTAATCCTTGCCCTAACTCTAACACTAACCTTAACTCTAACCTTAACTGTAGCCCTAATCTTAATCTTAACTTTAACCCTAGCCTTAACTCCAACCCTAGCCCTTACTGTAACCCTAACCTTAACCCTAGTCCTAGCTCTCACTCTAACCCCAACCCTAACTCTAGCACTAACCTTAACCCAGCCCTAACCTTAACCTTAACCCTAGCCCTAACCTTAACCCTAACACTAACCCTAACCTCCATTTCCAATGTTGATGAAACTGTATCCATCAAAACTGTTTCTCATCGTAGAATCCCTACAGCGTGGAAACAGGTCCTTTGGCTCAACAAGTCCACACCGACCCTCAGAGCATCCCACCCAGACCCATCCCCCTATAACCCACCTAATCTACACATTCTTTTCACCGCTGCCTGCTATTTTCAACATTTTTCTTTCAGATTTCCACATCTGTAGTATTTTTGCTTTGATGATAGATACATCTGTTTCTGTGTCACCAGCTCCTTGATAAATCTGAAGTTTCCCGTGATCCTTTGTGTGAAAAAGTGCTTCCCGATTACATCATCCGGCTGTAAAATTATGTTCAGCCACTTGTTCCAAATTCCCTGAAATCAAAAGAATGGTTGGGAGGTGTGATACAAAAATGCATCTTCAGTACTGTGGAAAAAATTGGTAAAGGAACATCGGAGAGACCAATCTGACACTGGAAATTTAGGGACAAGGTTTGTCACAATACCAAGAAATATACCAAGTTTAATAGGAATGGTTTGTATTAATACAGATTTTCCATTACTTATTCCATTACATGCTCCCAAGACTATGATGGGTCACACACTACATTCATGTGAAGTCATGCTGTTTTATTTGTGTTCTACACACCAGGAACATTCCAGAAGCTTGATTTCTTAATCGCCTCCTCACCACCATGAAATAACGCTGAGGAATATTTTGGCTCACCTTTGAGTCTTTTTTTTCCAAATCTGTCAAACTTCAGAGTTGGAGCAATAGAGTCTTTGTGACTTACATTTCCCAACTAGTGCTTCCTACAGGCGCTGTTCCCTCAACCGACAATGCCTAAGGTGAACATTGACAATCCCTCATCAATCTCAACATGAACAGTGGATATCCATCTCCTTAGATAAAGTGCACTGGATTCAATATTGACAGCACATAAACAAATACAAATAGCCATCTCCATAAGAAAGTCACCCAAACTATTCCATTGTTTCAACAACCCCTACACACCAGAAAGGAGATAAACACACCAAAATTACTTTACTTTCATGGAAAGATGATCATGTTTTTAAGATGCAGGTGTAAGACGGGAATGGGATCTCCTTGTGAGGGACGGGCCTGGTCAGATACATTTGGAAAAGACATTCTCCAATTCTTAGTTTTATTCTACAGGTGGAGCAACAGCTCAGGAACAGAATGAAGACAGTACCAACAAAATGACAAAAAAAAATTCATTAACTGGAATTAACCACTAAGATAAAATGTAAAACAAAAGTAGGAAAACATTGAATCCCACAGGATTTCAACATTTGGATAATGGATTTTAATTATACAATCCACAATGTAGCTATGAAACCCTAAGATGAGGCTTTATTTACACCAGTTTATTTATGTACCTGTAGATACTTCATGGATGTTTTCTGACTCCATGCTTCTGGAGAAGATCCTCATCCGACGCACGTATAGGTCAAATATTCTAACCTATATTGCTCACAGTTTTCTAAGTATTTAAGTTAAATTTATGAGCAATGATCACAATGTTACAAACATTGCTTATGGCAATTGAAAATCTTGTCTGGGAACACAGAGCTGAAAATTACTCATTTGAGTTACAAAATGAAGAACATCATGGATACATCTCCCATCGCTTGGGCAAAGATAGATTGGTTTAGGGTACATAGTTTCAGCATGCATGCCCATTCACTCATTAGCGCGTGTAGTGTTACTTATACAACAATAGTTTCAGATTTGTTGAACAGTTCATTTCGTCACTCACTAAAACACAACTTTTAATAAATACATAACAGACTGACAGCATCATTGCTCTCAGCTCTAACAAGAATGACTATGTTCATTTACATGCACAGTTAGAGGTACAGTCTGACAAGTAAACCTTGGTTGATAAGAGCTGGAACTCCTGCTGCTTACTGACTGGTGGCACAGTTATGTCATTGACTGTGATTTCCTGGATGCCCAGCCAGAGAAAGAATAAATGCTTGACATAATGGATCAGCTATCATGAGGACTTCTATTCAATTCTGAACCTTCTTGACTGATGTTTCTTCGTTCTCTGCACTTTCGGTAGTCTCAGTTGCTTCCTGGAAAGAGCCAAAAGCAGTACACCATGAAACACTGCAATCCAATCCAGGTACAGAGAGCACAGGTGATTCCTCAACAGTTCCAATTTTAGTGTTAGTTTGGCTCAGTTGGGAGCAATTGTGCTTCTAAGGCTTTGGGCTATAAAATTCGAACCTCATTGTGACTCATTCTCCCTTCCAGACTAACAGAGGCTATGTCTGATTCTGAAATTTAAAATCAACTTTCAGAGTCAGCATTGTGTTTCCTTTTGGAATATATTTTATTTGCCCTCTGGCATATGTTGCTACCATTAACATACTTTTGTAACTGTTAACAACACAATCGAGATCCACTGGAGGACATCCAGGACTATGCTGGTTTTACCATTCAATGCTTAAAGCAGCACCAGGCAATATGAACTGTGTCAACTTTACTGAAGACAGAAAAGTCTCTGTTGAGTGTTAGGCCCACTCAAACAGCTGTTGGCTGGACTCACCCTATTTTCTGAGGTCACGTCAATTTATGTTTTTTTGAATAAACAACATAAACTTTATTACACCAAGTTAGAGCAGGAATAAAATCTACGATATATGTACAACATTTCTCTTCATTTTTGCTTTGTCCTCTGCTTTAGAAGAGAATTCAGTCAGGTTGTGATGTGTTTTGGGTTTTGTGATGAAAAGAATTTTAGAAGTCATAATTTATACTGTGTAAGCCAGCAATCTGTGAAACTGATAACAATCAGGGAACAGAGTTGCTGCATTTGACTGTTGCAAAATATGGAGTGATTATGATTTGATATGGAGCCCCTGCTTATGCACTGTCATAGTGTGTATTGTCAGCTGACCACAACAAACCACAGGCAAATCCACTCATCATATGACGCGCTCTTCTCCCTCAGATCATTCTTGTACACCTCCTCTGAACCCCTCTAAGGTCAGCACATCTTTCCTTAAATATGTGGCGCAAAACTGCTCACAACATTCCAAATGGAGCCTGATCAGAGCCTAAGACAGCCTCAGCAGCACATCTCGGCCCTTGTATTCCAGCCCTCTTGAAATGAATTCTAACATTGCATTTGCCTTCCCAACTGCCAACTGAACCTGCATGTTGACCTTATGAGAATCCTGAAGTTTTGCTGTAGGCTTTGGTGAGGCCACATTCAGAGTATTGAGTGCAATTTTGGGTTTCCTTATTTGGAAAAGGAAATAATTAGATCTGAAAGAGTTCAGACAAGGTTGACCTGACTCAATCTTGGGCAGATGGGCTTATTTATGAAGAAAGGTTGAACAATGCAGCCACTGGAGTTTAATAAGAATAAGAAATAAAATAATAGGAAGATCCTTGGGAATTTGATAGTGAGATGATCGATTGATTGATTGATTGTTTGATTTATTGTTGTCTCATGTACCAAGATACAGTGAAAAGTGTTGTTTTGCTTGCTATACAGGCAGATCATACTATAGTAAGAGCATCAGGGTAGCAGCGTGCGGAAAACAGTGTTAACAGTGACAGAGAAGGTGCAGAGAGAATGAGATCAGAATTAACATTTGAAAGGTCCTTTCAAAAGTCTGATGACAGCGGAGATGAAGTCGTTTTTCAACCTGTCTGTGTGCGTATTCAAACTTGCATATCTTCTGCCCAATGGATGAGGGTGGAAGAGACTATAACCAGGGTGGGAGGGGTCTTTCATTATGTTGGCTGCTTCAGCAATGTAGCAGGTAGTATTGATAGAATCAGTGGATGGAAGGCTGGTTTGCATGATGGACTGGACTGTGTTCACAACTCTCTAAAGTTTCTTGTGGGATGTGTGCTCTTGTGGGCATGACTAGAACAAGGGACAGACTTTAAGATTAAGAGATATCCTTTTTAACACTGAAATGAGAAGAATTTTTTTTGCTTTGAGAGGAATTTTTCTGTTAGTGGAATTCTCTTCGTCAGAAAGCAGTGTGCGTTTGGCAATTAAATCTTTTCAAGGTTGAGTTAGACAGGTTTTTGAGAAACAAGAGCGTGAAGGGTTAATAGGTGTATAATATCTTTACAAATGACCACACTCTTGTACTTACCACCTCAACCAGTACTGGGCAAGGGTTATTTGAGGTGGTTCATTAGTGACAACAATTCTCCTTTGTCTTTGTCTCGGGGCTAGCTACAGGTTAGTGGTAGAGGCTACACCATCATATGGTGTCTACAGAAGAGGTGCAGTCCCTAGATAACAAGAAGGTTTGTTGCATGATAACAATCAGTACAGCAGCATTTGATCAGGCATAATTACTAGGAACTTATGGAGCTGGTTCAGATACATCTGCTCCTATTACAAGCTAGTCTCCATGCACAGAAAGTGTGTGACATCGACAAATGGTCAGAAGTCACACAACACCAGGTTATAGTCCAACAGGTTTATTTGAAATCACAAGCTTCCAGAGCAATCCTCCTTTGTCAGGTGAAGGAGCAGCACTCCAAAAGATTGCAATTTCAAATAAACCTGTTGGACTATAACCTGGTGTAGTGTGACTTCTGGTCTTGCCTGCCCAAGTCCAACACTGGCACCTCCACATCAACAAATGGATGGAGGCAATTGAGAGCAGAATTGAATCAGCCGTGACCTTACTGAATGGCTGAGCAGGTGAATTTGCATTGCAATGATCCTATGTTCCAAAGTCCTACCTTAATTAATTTTGGACCTGTTAACATGAGGGATTTAGTTGCAGTAAAATGGAGTTTATAAACATTCTTGGATTGTGATGTATCATAAGTTTAATCAACTGTTAAATTTTTCAGTGTTATTTTTCACATTGATCGACGAATGCTGATCCTGTCAGTCACCATTTACAGGAAACCTAACGAGACCAGCATTATATTTACTGTGGCCACACAAACAGGTCAGAGGGGCTAGGAATTCTGCCATAAGTGGGTCACCTTCTACCTCTCAGTATCTGTCCATCCTCCACAAGGCACAGGTCAGGAGTGTGATGGAATACTCCCCACTTGCTGGGATGGGCACAGCTCCAACAGCACTGAAGAAGCCAAAGGCCATTCCAGACAAAGCAACCTTCTTAACTAGCATCTGATCCATTACCTCAAACATTCACCCTCACCATCACAGACACCAGGGCAACAGATGTAGCCAGCACAAAATAGACGGCATGAAATGTTTGATAACAGGTCCCAAAATTGTAATCATGATCACCTAAAAGGGTAAGTTCAGCAGCTGTGAGAGAACAACACCATCTGTAAATTCTTTGTGAACATGAGTTGGAAATGTAAGCATCCTTCCACTGTTATTGGGTCAAAATCCTGGAGCTGTCTTCCTCGCCCCACTGTGGGTATCTCTATACCCCAAAGACTGCACTGGTTCAAAAAGGTGCCTCATCATCACCTTCTCAAGAATAATTAGGGATGAGCAATAAATACTGTCACTGCCAATAAAACCTACCTCCAATGATTATATTAAGAAAAGAGAGAAAAAGATTTTTCATTATTGGACTGATATAGCCTTCTCTAATGTGGTGACAGGTGGGGGGAGTTCAGACCTTTGCAAAGTTTTCAAATGTCTGTAAAAAGGGTGCTAAAAATGCTGAGGTAATTGTTCAGTTCATGACTCGCTGACAACGTCAGATTACCATAAGACTATCAGATATAAGAGCAAAGTTAAGCCATTCGGCCATTGGGTCTACTCCACCATTCAATCATGCTGACACGCTTATCAATCCCATTCTCCTACCATCTCCCCTTAACCCTTGATCCCCTTACTTATCAAGAACTTATCTACCTCTATATTAAATACACTCAATGACTTGGTCTCTACAGCCTTCTGCAGCAATGAGTTCCACAGATTCACCACCTTCTGGCTGAAGAAATTCCTTCTCATCTCAATTCTAAAGCGTCACCCTTTCACTCTGAGGATGTGTCTTTGGTACCTGGTGTCTCCAACTTGTGGAAACATCTTCTACACGTCCATTCTGTCCAGGCCTCTCAGTATTCTGTTGTTTCAATCAGATCTCCCCTCATCATTCTAAACTCCATCAATTACAGAGTCCTCAACCTCTCGTCACATCACAAACTCTTTGCCCCTGAAATCATTCAGGTAAACTTCCTTTAGACTCCTTCCAATGCCAATACATCCTTCCCTGGATACAGGGCCCAAAATTGCTCACAATATTCCAAATGTTGTCTAGACAAAGCCTTGTACAGCCTCAGAAGTTCATTTCTGCTCTTCTATCTAGCCCTCTAGAAATGAATGCTAACATTGCATTTGCCTTCCTAATCTGCATGTGAACATTAAGGGAATCCTGAATGAGGACTCCCAATTTCTTTTGTGCTTCAGATTTCCAAAGCCTTTCCCCATTTAGAGCACAGACAATCTTCTATTCATCCTAGCAAAGTGCTTAACTTCACACTTTGTCATATTTTATTCCACCTGCCACACCTTTGCACATTCTCCTAGTCTGCCTAAGTCCTTCTGTAGCCTCCCTGCTTCTTCAATACTACCTGTCCATCTATCTTAGTGTCATCTGCAAACTTGGCAACAATGCCCTCAGTTCCTTTGTTCAGATTGTTAATGTACAACTTGAACAGTTTTGGTCCGAACTTCGCCATCTGTGAAACTCCACTAGTCACCGGCTACTATCCTGAAAAAGACCCCTTTATGTCTGCCTGTCAGTCAATCCTCTGTCCAGACCAGCACCTTGCCCCTATCACCATGGACTCTTATCTAGTTTAGCAGCCTCTTGTGTAGCACCTTGTCGAATGTCTTCTGGAAACCCAAACGTACTATGTCCTTTGGCTCTCCTTTGTCTAACTTGCTCATTACCTCTTCAAAGAATTCTAACAGATTTGTCAGGCATGACCTCCCTTGATGAAGACCTGATTCTTCTGACTCAGCTCTATTTGACCATGAGCTTCCAAATATTCCACAATCTCATCCTTAATAATGAATTGTAAAAGCTGACCAACAACTGGGGTCAGGCTAACCGGCCTATGATTTCCTGTCTTCTGCCTCTCTGCCTTCTTAAACATGGGTGCTATATTAGCCATTTTCCAATCCTCTGGCACCCTCCCTGCCTCCAGTGATTCCTGAAAGATCACCACCATTGCATCTACAATCTCCTCAGATACAAGATAAATGAGCAGTGGAACATTATGTCTGGCTGTTTAATTGAATGTAAAGTAGCATTTATTAGGAGCTTTAATTACTTCAGACCATTATCCATGGAGCTTGCAGGGCCAAGTTACTCCCCGTTGTCTAGCATTTTCCAACCACAGAAAGCAGAATTTGCATATATTACTTACATGTCAGAATAAGCGATTTTAGGAAGTGACCAGATGAACCAGACTGTTTTGCACATCTAAATACTGTTTACTCTCTGCATTCCTTACTGTCATTAGAAATCACTCTAACTTCTCCTATACTCAATTATACTCCCTGTTTTAACTACTCCTTAATATCTCTATCCAACTCCATCATCTTTGGGTGTGCGTTCTGCCTGACTTTGTACTTACTCCTACTCCTGCTTTGGTTACATCAGCATTACTAATTACCACCCGTCTTCAATGCCCATTTTCTATCATGAATGTTATTAACAAAGAGACAACGACCCCATCATCGGTTTTTTTGATTGGAGGATCAATACTAGCTAGGGGATAGCATTTCTTAGCTCAACTCAGAGCACGCTGGAAGAAGATCACTTCATTTTCCTCTTGGGAAATCTGAAGCTTTCCGGACTCAATATTAAGCTCAACAATTTAAGGCTTGAGCAACTTTTCCCAAACCCCACACACCAGGCCTTGTTATCACATGGACTGCGACCACACACAACCCACTGTCAACCACTAGTAGTCACCATTAGCAGCTACTCATTCTCCTGGGCTGACCTTTATCCACTGCTTTGTCTGTACAACAATTTTCCCTCTCTTTGGGGTCTATCCCAACCTAACGTTACTCCTTTCCCTTCCAGCCACCCTATCTTCGGCATGAAAAACAACCTTTTCCGAACAACCACGGGTTCTGAAGAAGGGTCACTGGACCCAAAATTCTGATTTCTCTCCACAGAGGCTGTCAGACATGCTGAGCTTTTCCAGCAATTTCTGTTTTTCGTTTGTAACGTTTCTTTTGGCTGTTCACGAGATTGCAGATACCACTTGTCAGGCCAGCAATTATTCCCAAATCCAAATTCTCGAACAAAAGAGCAAAAGAGAAGTACAGCACAGGAACAGGCCATTCGGCCTTTCAAGCCTGTGTCGATCATCATGCCCCAACTAAAACTAAAAAAACAAACCTCTGCCCTAATATTGCAGAATTTGGTTGGGAGCTGCCTTCTTGAACTGCTACAGGCATTGGACACGCTTATGATTAGGGAGAGAGTTCCAGGATTTTGTCCAAATGACAGTGAAGGAACAGCACTGTATTTCCAAGGCAGGACGGTCTATGGCAAGGTGAGAAATTTGCATGTGGTATTTTTTCCCATGCATCTGTTACCTTTGCCCTTCGAAGTGGCAGGGTGCTGACTTCCCTTGTCTTCTTCGAAGGTATCATTGACATTCGGTGGGACAGGCAAGATGAGGCCTTGGTTTAATCTGAGAGACGCCACCTCTGACACTGGAGTGGTCTGTCAGTACTGCACTGGAGACTCTGTCTGATTTACATGCACTCACAGTTCAAAATAGGGCTTGTTTCAAAGGTGAATGTGTGACCGATTGAGTCGGAGCTGACATGCAAGAATTTCTTGCGTTCTTTGTTTAATTAGATAAGACCATAACATCATAAGTTTGGACCAGAATTAGGCCATTCAGCCCATCGAGTCTACTCCACCATGCCTGATAAGTTTCTCAACCCCATTCTCCTGCATTGTCCCTGTAAACCTTGAACCCCCTTACTCATCAAGAGGCCTGGCATGTAAACCAACTGGATTAGTGTGCAGTTTGATATTTTGGTTACAATTATGGAAATTTCATTTAGGTCACATTAAACCCTCCCTCTCTCCTCTGAAAACAAGACCAAATTCCTTAATTATTCCTCATGACTTAAACTTCCTGAGATCTGGATTGACTTTACTGGACTGTTCTGCTGTTCTTCATAAATCATATATGATGAAATAACCTTTATTTAACAACAGGACTGTACAAGCCCCTTTTATCTGTAATTTTGCCCCTCAGCAAAGACAAACCAAAACTTCATTTGATGTTTTTTGTACTTCAGCCAAATCCATTTCATCAATCCCTTACATTTGCCCACTGTAATCCCAAGATCTCGCGTTGTTCATCTCAACATAGTCTCTCTACTTAATTCTATACACCATTGACCGCTGCTGCATTTCACCTTGTATCCTGCTATACACTTGATGTTAAACCAGTGCAAAAGTTATAGAACAGAAACAGAAGTTGCCAGAAAAGCTCAGCAGGTCTGGCAGCATCTGTGAAGAAAAGAATCAGAGCTAACATTTTGGGTCCAGTGGCCCTTCCTCAGAACTTCCCCAGACTTCTGAGGGTCACCGGACCCGAAATGTTAACACTGATTTTTTTCTTCACAGATGCTGCCAGACCTGCTGAGTTTTTCCAGCAACTTCTGCTTTTGTTCCTGATTTACAGCATCTGCAGTTCTTTCAATTTTTACTTTGCAAAAGTTATAGAAATTGGTCAACGATGCCACCCGAAGGCTGTGGGAACAGCACCTCATATTTCGCTTGGGAACCCTGCAGCCCAATGGTCTCAATGTGGATTTCACAAGTTTCAAAATCTCCCCTCCCCCTACCGCATCCCAAAACCAGCCCAGCTCGTCCCCTCCTCCTTGACCTGTACATCTTTACCCCCACCTATTCCTTCCTCCCACCTCACTGACCAAACCCCACCCCCACTTCATCCTACTAGCCTCATCCCCGCCTCTTTGACCTGTCTGTCTTCCCTCAACTGACCAACCCCCATCCCAACTCCCTACTTACACTTGCCTTTACTGGCTCCATCCCAGCCTCCTTGGCCTGTCTGTCTTTGCTCCACCTATCTGCTCCTTTATCCATCATCCATTATCGCCAACCCCTCTCTCTCTTTATTTCAGAGTTCACTTCCCCTCCCCCATTTCTGAAGAAGGGCCCAGACCCAAAATGTCAGCTTTCCTGCTCCTCTGATGGTGCTTGGTCTGCTGTTTTCATCCAGCTCTACACCTTGTTATCTCAGATTCTCCAGCATCGGCAGTTCCTAATATCTCTGAGAAATGTCTGCTGGTTCCTTAATACAAAATTTCCACCGAAGCTGTGGCAGGAGACCAAGTAAACATCTCTCAGAATAATTGTTTTGTAATATCCATCAAGAAAGATCTCTCTGAGTTGCACAGCATCTCAGCTTGGATGTATATCCATTGTTCTTTCAGTGTCAAATCCTGAGACTACCTACCCAACAGCGCTTTGAAAGTATCGCTTAGATTGTATTCGTTAAGAAAGTGGACCCGCCCTTGCTTTTAGGGATGCCTTGCAAGCAGCATGCATATTCATAAAATGTGCCATCAAGACAAAACAACAAATCTCCAAACTGCATCTGCTGTTTGCCAGTTCTGAGGAGGGTCACTCAACCAAAACGGAAACTCTGATTTCTCACCACAGACGCTGCCAGACCTGCTGAGCTTTTCCAACTATTTCTATTTTTGTCTCTGCTCGTTGCTTGCCCAATTGCTTCAAGGATCAAATTAGTTCTGTTTTGCTCCTTAATACTTTTTCTTCTATTGAGGTGATCTGGAAATTGCAATGTCATGGATCACATTACAATTCCACATTTGCTAAGCATCATCTGTCACAGGACTATAACAGAAACAACACAGGAACTAACTCTTTCAAACAGCTACCATGGATGCTATCAATCAAATGGCACCCTTCTGCACTCGAACAATGAATAATTCTACAACTTCTATGATGTACCTATTGAAGATTAGCATGAGAAGGTTTTGCTGATAAGACTGCATGAAAATTGTGTGAGGAGGTTCCTGTGGGGCAGAAATGCTTGCATCAACTTGTTGGGCCGAACGGTCTGTGCCCTCAGTTCTGTGCAGTTTTATGATGGTATCAATCAGAACATCAAATAGACGAGAGACCACATCAAAACTTATTACCTTCAATCTCTCTAATTCTTGTCGGCCAGGCAAAGATATCTGAGGTGTGTGAAAAGCCTATTCAATGAAAAGAAGAAAATAATCACTCCGTGATCATCAAAGATAAAATTTTGATTAGGTGAAAAATGCGTTTCACAGAATCCTATTCAAACTCACACTGACCCTCTGAAGAGCATTCCCCCCAAGACCCACTCCCCTACTTTTCCCATGGCCAATCCACCTAGCACACCATGCACAATTTAACATGGCCAATCCACCCTAACCTGCACCACTTTGGACTGTGGGAGCAAACCAACACAGGCACAAGGAGAATGTGCAAACTCCACACTGTCACCCAAGGCTGGAATTGAACCCAGGTCCCTGGTGCTGTGAGGTAGCAGTGCTAACCACTGATCCACTGTGCTGCCTGATTACATTCCAGAAAGATTGAAGGCCCATATTTTCCTCCTCCATGTAGACATTCAATAGTTTATCTTTTTGTTTAATATGATAAAAAAAGTTTATCTCACAAAGACTTGTAATTCCAGATTCGAGAAAAGGGTGCTGGTAGCTTTACACATTAGCAGAGGTTTTGCACCCGCAGAAGCCCAGGCGTTGAACTCAATTCCAAATGATTAATAATTGCCAATTAGAATTTAAAACTCAATCCATTTAAGATACTGGTTGACTATTTTCACTGTTCACATCCTACCTTAATTGAGGTGTGTATTCTTCTTCATAAAACTGGCTGAAATAATTTGGAAACACAGGAATTCCATGAATTTAGATTAAACATTAAATGCAACATTAACTCTTCTTCTGAAATGCTTCCACCTACGCTATGATATTCATTTGCAGCCCTCTCATTGTGCGGGAGCCAAATGGGGTTTCACCACAGTGCACACATACATGAGTTTTCCAAAGTTATTCCAAAGTTATATGGCTGATATTATTGTCTCCGCCACCCAAGCCGAGAATCACAAAGCTAATTAGTATGGCCTAACTATTACCCATCCTGGAATCAGCTAACTCAGCACAGACCAAGATTGGTGCCATAGCTTTCCTGGTCAGTATCATTTAATTCCACTACTGGTGCGTCATTGATCCACTGCAGAAGTTTATTATCAAAGGTGCTCTTCCCTGACTGTTGCACACTACCATTAAAATAGTGAAAGCTCCAAAATACGCTACATTTGACAAGGCTATTATTAATATTTGAACATAGAACAGTACAGCACAGGAACAGGCCCTTCAACCAATAATGTTGTGCTGAACATGATGTCAAGTTAAATTAATCCAGGTGCCTGCCCTTGGTCCATATCACACTATTTCTTACTTATTCATGTGCTTACCTAAAAGTCCCTTAAATGCCCCTATCCTATCTGTCTCCACCACCACCCTTGGCAGCGCGTTCCAGACTCCTACCACTCTCTGTGTAAAAAACTTATCCCTCACACTCCCTTTGAACTTTCCCCATCTCATCTTTAATGCATGTCTCCTAGTATTAGACATTTCAACCATGGGAAAAAAGTTCTGACTCTCAACTCTATCTATGTATTTCTTAATTTTATAGACTTCTATGAGATGTAAAATAATTTCCAGTAAAATGTGGGAATAAAAGGAAGTAAAGTTTAATATTTTCAATGAAGGTGCTACTCTTCACACAAATAAAAATAATTAAAGATATTAATAGCCTCAGAAACCTGGACTAATAATGAGATTTTACTCTGCATATCACCCTGTGCTAATTGTAATGATTGACAGTTAACTGGACATCATAGAATATGAGCTCCCTGATTGGGGCTGTTAATCTGGTCCAATCAGGGAGCCCGGGCTGACAGATATAAAAAGTGATTGTCAGAGATACTGACACTTTGGTAGCTAACTTTGTAAAAGGCAGTACTGTAATTAAAGACTGTTCCTATGAAAATAAAGGGTGACTTGGTGACGGGATACCGGTCTCTAGACAGTCATTTCATTAATGATGGGAACTCAGAGCCAGTGCTGATGGTAACTGTACCAGAGCTGTTCATCCCAGACTTTGCCTTTTAAAAGTGCACACAAGAATGTATGTGAGTTAAGGAGAATCACAGAGTCATATAGCGTAGAAACAGAACTTTCAGTCCAGCCCATCCATGCCGACTGTAAACTCAAAATAAACTGGTCTGATCTGCCTGCGCTTGGCCCGTATCCCTCCAAACGTTTCTTATTCATGTACTTATCCAAATGTCTGTTAAACATTGTAACTTTACCTGCATCCACCACTTCCTCTGGAAGTTCATTCCACAAACGAACCACTCTGTGTGTAAAAAAATTGCCCTTCATGTCTATTTTAAATCTTTCTCTTCTAACTTTAAAAACATGCCCCCTAGTCTTAAAATCTCCCACCCCAGGGAAAAGACACCAGTCATTCACTTTATCCATATCCCTCATGATTTTTCAAACTACAATAATGTCACCCTCCAATCTCCTAGCTTATCCAGCCTCTCCCTTTAATACAAACCCTCCACTCCCGGCAACATCCTGGTAAATCTCTTCCGAACCCTCTCCAGCTTACTAATGCCCTTCCTATAACAGGGAGACCAGACTGGACGCAGTATTCCAGAAGAGGCCTCACCAATGTCCTGTACAACCTCAACATAAGAGAGAGATTGATGAGTGCATGAGATTCCTTCTGTGTTCATACTCCTGTGCAGTTAAATAAAAGGAAAATATTGTGAATGCTGGAAATCTGAAATATAAACAGAAAGTGCTGGAGAAAATCAGCATTTATGGAGGGAGAAACTGTGTTAATGTTTCTTCAGAAGCTTCAGAACAGCTTTGTTTCTCTCTTCACAGGTGCTGACAGACCTGCTGAGATTCCCCACACTGTCCAGCACTTTTCTCTGTCTGTGCAGGCTCACATGTGAAGCATTGCAGCTGGGGTGAGTTACCAACCTTCATTGACACCTATGGCACACAACCCCTGTGGGTCAACAACCTCAGCTGAATCATAGAATCCCCACTGTGTGAAACAGGCCCTTCGGCCCAACAAGTCCACACCGACCCACACACCATCCCACCCAGACCCATCCCCCGGTCATCCACCTAATGTACGCTTCCCTGAACACTACGGGCAATTTAGCATGGCCAATCCACCTAGCCTGCACATTTTTGGACTGTGGGAGGAAACCGGAGCAACTGGAGGAAACCCACGCAGACACAGGGAGAACATGCAAACTCCACACAGACAGTCCCGAGGGTAGAATCTAACCCGGGTCCCTGGTGCTGTGAGGCAGCAGTGCTAACCACCGAACCACCGTAAGAACCATGGTGACCACATTCATCAGAAAATAAGGTGACTTTGATGTGAATACAGGAGGGATGGTTGGTAAGTTTGCAGATGACAGCAAAATTGGTGGAGCATTGGACAGTGGAAAAAGTTACCTCAGAGTACAATGGGACCTTGATCAGATAGGCCAATGGGCCGAGGAGTGGCAGATGGAGTTTAATTTAGATAAATGTGAGGTGTTGCATTTTGGCAAAACAAACAAGTTTAAATACTTATATAGTTAATGGCAGGGCTCTGGGGAGTGTTGTTGAACAAAGAGACCTAGGGGTACAGGTGCATAGCTCCCTGAAAGTGGAGTTGCATGGTGGCGAAGAATGTATTTGGCACGTTTACCATCGTTGGTCAGTGCATTGATTAGAGAATATGGGAGATCAAGTTGCAGTTGTACAGGACTTTTGTGAGGCCACTATTAGAATATTGGGTTCAATTCTGATCTCCCTGCTAAAGGAAGAATGTTGTGAAACTCGCAAGGGTTCAGAAAAGATTTACAATGATGTTGCCGGGTTTGGAGAATTTGAGCGACAGGGAGAGGCCGAATAGCCTGGGGCTGTTTTCCCTGGAGCATCAGAGGCTGAAGGGTGACCTTATAGAGGTTTATAAAATCATGAGGGACATGGATAAGGTGAATATCTGCGGTCTTTTTTCCCAGGCTAGGGGAGTCCAAAACTAGAGGGCACAGGTTTAAGGTGAGAGGGGAAAGATTTAAAACGGACACAAGGGGTAACATTTTTTTGCAGATGGTGGTACGTGTATGGAATGAGCCGGCAGAGGAAGTGGTGAAGGTTGGTAACATGACAACATTGAAAAGGCATCTGGATGGGTATATTACTTTACATCGGTATTCACCGAGGAGAGGGACATGACGAATGTTGAGGTTTGGGATAGATGTTTGATTACTCTAGGTCAAGTCGGTATAATGAGGGTGGATGTGTTGGGTATTCTAAAAGGCATTAGGGTGGACAAGTCCCCAGGTCCGGATGGGATCTATCCCAGGTTACTGAGGGAAGTGAGAGAGGAAATAGCTGGGGCCTTAACAGATATCTTTGCAGCATCCTTGAGCACGGGTGAGGTCCCAGACGACTGGAGAATTGCTAATGCTGTCCCTTTGTTTAAGAAGGGTAGCAAGGATAATCCAGGTAATTATAGACCGGTGAGCCTGAGGTCAATGGTGGGGAAGCTGCTGGACAAGATACCGAGGGAAAGGATCTATTTACATTTAGAAGAAAATTGGCTTATTAGTGATGGGCAGCATGGTTTTGTGCAGGGAAGGTCATGTCTTACCAATTTGATAGAATTCTTTGAGGAAGTGACAAAGTTGATAGATGAGGGAAGGGCTGTAGATGTCATATACATGGACTTCAGGAAGAACATAGAACATAGAACATAGAACATTACAGCGCAGTACAGGCCCTTCGGCCCTCGATGTTGCGCCGACCTGTGAAACCAATCTGAAGCCCATCTAACCTAAACTATTCCATTATCATCCATATGTTTATCCAATGACCATTTAAATGCCCTTAAAGTGGGCGAGTCTACTATTTTTGCAGGCAGGGAATTCCACGCCGTTACTACTCTCTGAGTAAAGAACCTACCTCTGACATCTGTCCTATATCTATCACCCCTCAATTTAAAGCTATGTCCCCTCATGCTAACCATCACCATCCGAGGAAAAAGGCTCCCACTGTCCACCCTATCTAATCCTCTGATCATCTTGTATGTCTCTATCAAGTCACCTCTTAACCTTCTT